TTTAATGCGCAAAGAAGTATAAAAATAGTATTAAAACTTTCTTACTTTTTTCTGGCACCTATATCAATAACATACGAATATCCACCATCAAAAAACAACATTCATTCGTTTGAGAAATGAAAATATTTTAAATATCTTATCACTTTTACTCACACAGTCTTTGAAAAACAACTTTAGTTGAATATTTCGATATTCGGCGCAACACAGTTTTACATTTATGATTTTCCTCATAAGAATATTTCAATCACAAGCTTATGGAATAGCGTTAAGTAGGTAAGTAATGCAATCACGATAGATAATGTATTAGATACAAAAAACTGTCAAGCCACTTGGTATCCTTTAATGAAGTTATCCTAAAGTTGTTTTTTTTTCATTTATTCTGAAAAGAAGGGGGGAAGTTTATCCAATTTTAAGGCGTTCTGACCCTATTGTCAGAGGTTAGACGTGTAGTTTAACTTACTTATTTTTCATAAAGCATTTTAACGAAGAGTTTGTGACAAGTATTATTTATTGTTTACGTGCCAATAATCCATTGTGTTAAGATTGTTGACTCTGTATAAGCTGGATGTGGCCTGATATCTAGCATTTGACTATGAGTCCTGTTGCTATGTGATGATTAAAAATACAATATTTACATTACAACTATGAAAATGCTGGAATTATCTGACGTTGCGCCACTGAAATAAAACACTACCCCAATATTATTGTAATGTTTAAAACAGAGCGCCTACGATTAAGGCTTTTTTCTGCATCTTTTCAGCAAATTATAAAGATTGAAATATATGTATTTAGATATTTGTGAAAATAAAACCCTATTATTTCAGAACATGTAGGGAAGTCATCAGTATCCTTGAATTTGTTTTAAAAAGTTGTTAGATCAGACACGTTTGTTAACTACACCTTTACTGTAAACATTAATTACATTTTCTTAATTATCATATGGAAAAGACTGGATAATGTGATTGAAATTAGCTAAAGCAGGCTTAACTTCCAATACAGCAGGGCTAAGCTTATGAAGATCGAGGCATTACTGCTTAAGAATCTAAAACACGATAAGTCTTAGTAGTTATATGTAGATGATAATTTTGTAACTTTTTTACGTATAGAGTTTCTCTTTAAGTTGGTTCATCTCCAGTAAATAAATCTTAACATTAAAAACATTTCCAAGGTCTTTTTGGTGTTGTTATCTAAAGAGCAGTCAACAAATATTCATAAAAAAATATATATTTAGAGCACCGCCTGTAGATGGTTGAACATGATTACGAGTAATTCACCTAAAGCAGCCTTTAACAAGAATACTTGTAAGAATCTATTGACTCTACCAAGTCTAGTAAATCGTGCATAATTGATCTGAAACAAGCAGTGCAAACGTTAACTCTAACACATCTAGTAAACCATTAATAATCGATCTCTGGAAACCTTTATTAAAAAATATCTTGTAGTTTAAGTCTAACTAACCTCAAATTTTACAAAATAATATTACTGTAGTTTTCGTTCAGCAAGCAAACTGTTCATATAATATTTGGAGTTATAAATATCACTGTAACTACTGAAAACAACAACACATTAATTTGTTATCAGTATGTTAAGTAGTCGTTGTTGTTGTTTTTTTACAAAGTCCATCTTACAAATAATTGAGTCTCTGTGAAATTGCTAAAATAGTTAATAGTAAGAGACCGCGTGGGATTACAAACGACGGATATATATTCAAATAGCGTGAGTTACAGTCTCTCTAGAGAAGTATTAATGATTATCAGCCATATTCATAAAGAACGTAAGAAAGTGTTAATATATCATAAACCGTAACTAGGAGTGATTATAAACATGTTTCCTAGTGGAAATATGGGGGTGTTAATAATTCATAGCACGAAACTAGTCGTGATTATCAGCTGGATCCCTAAAGGACATGAGGAAG